TTTTATCAAAGATTTTTTTTAGGCTTTATGGTCTAAATTTATAAATACACTACTTGACCAGTGTTGAACTATTTAATGTCTTTAAAATTTGACCATTTCTATTTTCACTTTTGATGTCAATAATTTTTATAATTATATAACCTTTTTTATATATTTCTCTCGCCATTCTCTTTTTTTTCTGCTTATGTTCCAATCTTTCAATTAGTTCTTTTATCATCAAAAACAACTACATTTTCCAATAAACAATCTTTTCTAATCCAACTATATAATATAACATATACCAATTCAAATGTCCCCTTTTGCCCCACTAACACCCACAATAACGATAATAATAATTGTCGTTGTTTCATTAATATCATTAATAATAGGTATTATGGCAATTATTATTACATTATCTATGTTTCATAATGTAAAAAGTTCACATATTTTCGAAACCACTACCATCGATGTCGAACAACGACCACCGAGAGAAATAAACGAATTTGTAGAAACAGGATTCCTAGAGGAACCGAGTACGTTGGAACTGGAACAAGAAAATATTATAGTACCGAATCATGATTTTATTATGTTACAACATAAATTTCAAACAATGAATAATTATAGATTACAAGAAAGAAGAACAAATTTTGATAATAATGGGGAATATAGTGGTGCTATTCATATAAAAGATCGAAATTAAAAAAAAAAATCAAAAAAAAAAAAAAATCAAAAAAACAGTTCTAAATTGAAGTAGAAAGCATGTATATATGTACCAAAAAAAAAAGGTTGTAGATATATCAACAATTATGCTATTTAATTATTTTGCATTAACGTAATTAATTTATTTAGCATTCTAATCAATGTTAATGCATATTAGGTTTACTAATAAATCAATATAAATCGTAACTTAATATTTAATTTCATCATATCAAAATTTGTAATCTTAATTAACTAATCTATTTCATAAATAATACCATTATTAGTATTGCTTAAAAAAAAATTTTTTTTCAATATTCAGAACTTTCTGGCTTGATCTCATTTCTTGATTTTTATTTGTTAAAAATTATGTCGCCAGACTAGGGATGTCCTTCGCGCGCGATATTGACTTAGCCTACATTCAATTATCACATGACTTACTAATATTTCGCATTAGAAATGAGATCATTTGATATAATTTGAAAAAGGATGATATCGTGATCTCGTGCGAGAGACATCTGGAAAATACAGATGATGCGATAATGTCAAATAATTAATC